CATTATGAAATAAAGACTGAACTGTAACTTCCAACACTAGGTATAGAATTGGGACTTACCCCAAATTTTCGGTTGACTCCATCAACCTTGTTCACGGAATGGACCTGTCTACTCTTGGAACGTGACGTCAGAGACACATGACCGTAGTAGCGGGTCATACGTGCCAGATAACTCACAACATATTCACATTGAGTCCCCGGGACATTCAGTATCTCTAGAAGGGGTTAAAATCCTTGATTCTGAATCGGACTTCTTTGCAAGAGGAGTTAAGGAGGCAGTCTACATAAGAGCTCACAGACCTACCCTGAACAGAGACGGGGGGCGACACAAGTTATCAGGCACGTATGACCCGCTACTACGGTCACGTGTCTCTGATGTCACGTTCCAAGAGTAGACGGGTCCATTCCGTGAACAAGGTTGATGGAGTCAACCGAAAATTTGGGGTAAGTCCCAATTCTATACCTAGTGTTGGAAGTTACAGTTCAGTCTTTATTTCATAACAATATGGGATGTTCTGCACCTAAACTGGCTTATGTCATGCGAATTTCTGAGGTTTCAAATAATATGTAACCGTTGCCCCCCACAGTTCACGGACCTCCAGGACAAGCTGGGCGCTGCGGAGATCAAGATCCCGGAACTGAAGAACACGATAGAGGACCTGCAGTACGACAAGGACAAGCTGCGGCAGAAGTGCGAGAAGCTGGGCTTCCACCTGGCCGAGCTGGTGGAGAAGATGAAGTCTGGAGCCTTCCATTCTGTCACCTCCTCGGGCGCCAAGGAACTACCCAAGGGACAGGTAGGAGAGGGGTGGCTTTAAGTTTAACCCTACAAGTGTCAAGGCTGGTGAGGTAATGACTTAAGGTGGAAACAAGTCTGCCAGCACTTTCTGTGGTATTTGACGCTGTCAGAAGTGTACGTTTGTGTAATACACATGTTTAATATGGTTCCAATACACGTTTGGTACGTTTCCAAAACATGTTTGGTACGTTTCCAATACATGTTTGGTATGTTTCTAATACATGTTTGGTACGGTTCCAATACACGTTTGGTACGTTTCCAATACACGTTTGGTACGGTTCCAATACACGTTTGGTATGGTTTCAATGCACGTTTGATATGGTTCCAATACACGTTTGATATGTTTCCAATACGCGTTTGATATGGTTCCAATACACGTTTGGTATGTTTCCAATACACGTTTGCTATGGTTCCCAATACAAAATGTGTACATGTTTGATATGGTTCCAATACACGTTTGATATGTTTCCAAAACACGTTGATATGGTTCCAATACATGTTTGATATGGGTCCAGTACATGTTTGTTATTATGGTTCCAATACACGTTTGATATGGTTCCAATACAAAATGTGTACATGTTTCATATGGTTCCAATACACGTTCGATATGGTTCCAACACATGTTCGATATGGTTCCAATACACATGTGAATTTGCCGGACACTTCTAGGCTTAAGGGACCAGATTGGTACTTCCATGGCAGCTGAAGGAAAGGGTTCAACTTTTTGAATCAGAAGAGGTTTTGTTGTCATGGTTTGGTAGTCAGGAGTAGGGGTGGGACCAGGTTCAGTCTGACTCGCTAATAACTTCTAAGAACTGAGACCAAAAACTTTTTGAGACTCATAACAAAGTACTATTATATTATAGACATTTCTATTTAGACATCTTCTTAGGTAATCTGGCCATAAAAGGTGTAAAAAAAAATTATTCTGAATGAACCTACATGTATACTATAGATTAGCCTAAATTCAAATGATATTAAAAATAACTATAACATTCCAGTATACAATTTAAACATAAGTCAGTGTGCAAAATACCTGGTTGCCCAGTTGCCCCGGCAACCAAATTTTACTTGGGGCAACCTATTTTTGAACCCAGGTAACCCAGTGTGCTACCTGAATTTTAAGAATGCCCCCCCCCCCAATCATGCCCACTTGGCTTGCACCACTGTATCCGGCAGATGATTTTAGGTATTAATGGCTATTACTAGTATCAGTTAATTATTAAAGGCTGTTAGAAATATTGTCAAAGGCTTATGTATATATATATGTAACATTAATTAATTTGACGAAAGTAGTAACTTATAGGTGGGGCAACCTGAAATTCTGATGGGCAACCTAATTTTTGCGTTCTTGTTCGAAAAAGTATCGTACACTGATAAGTTAATCTTGCTCTTCAAAATACAATGTAATACAGTTACTATAATCAGGTCTGGACCTGGATTTGAACCTGATCAAGCTGAAGCGGTACCCACCCCTAGTCAGGAGTGTGAGTGCAAGATGGATGTACATGTATCATGGGAGTTCGATTTTTTTTTGTTCAGTTTGTGTTTTATTACTCCATATTATTAATATCAAACATGTCATGGTAATTGTATATTTTCATCCTTTAGAAAATGTGTACATATGTCTTAACATACATGTACCACCTCATTCTGTCTTGTTCATGTCATTTTCCTCAATATTGTAATACCGGTTAGAGTGTAGAAGGATAAAATCCATTTTCCCAGTCATCTACATGTAACAACATTTTTCCCATTTTAGATGTTGCCGATCTTTATGTCATGATCTTGATATTCAATGTGATTTGTTTCCTATCCTGTGTTGCATTTCATGTCAGTGTGTTATAAAAAAAAACTACAATGCAGGGCTCGAAATTCATTTTGGGAATAGGTGCACTGGTGCACCCATCCTAAAAAATTAGGTGAACAGAAAATTTTTTGGTTGCACCATATAAAACAAAACTTAATTACAGATCTTACTGCTCCTCCTCTGAGCTTGAATCTAAAATGGGAGCTAAATTCAAAATCTTGAACAAGTACTACAACAAAGATTTTATTATTTTTCTGACACTTAGATGCCAAGAATATCCTGTATACTATTATACATTGGATATGTACAGATTAATAAAATACCTACAAAAATCTTTGGGTGCTCCAGTGCACCCACAGAAAAAAATTGGGTGCACAGTACAGCTCCAATTTTAAGTGGACTAAGGTGCACATGCACCCAGTATTTTGAGCCCTGCAATGTATCATTGTATTGTGATCATTAGAAAGAGAGAGAGAGCGTGCCTGGTAAAAAAAAAGGACCTTGACCCATTTTCCTCTTGGTCTGTAGTTTGAGATGATGAAGGCGGACCTTGGTGGACAGGGAAGTCTGGACAACAACCCTCTGGTGACTATTACCTGACGTTACAGCATCCCAAAATATCCTCCACTACATTAGACTATTGCTGCTCTAAACAAGTAAAATCTGAGATTTTATACCTCCGGGCTTTTTATTGTATATTTTTATATGTTGTTAACAACAACAATTGTTGCGCGCCGCAGGACTAGGGTTTTAAACAAAGAATTTATTGAGACCAGACACCCCTCTGTGCGAGAGGTCATCTTCGTGGACAAGGCCGACATGTACCCGCCAAAGGTCAATGGTCGCGACCACTTTTACGCTTAAAGGGGTGTTCTGGGGCCATCAAAAGGCTCCATTTTCACGCCCGAAAACACGTATACAATGAAAACAAAAGAACGTGCATCATCTGCAGCCCAATAGCAAAACATATACCGAATCTCAAAAGAATCCGTCCACCCAAACGCGAGAAACAGCTGCGAACATGACAATCTAAATCTCCCACAAAACCCTTCCGCGGAAGGATGACTCCTCCCCCGGAGGCAGGCTTTTAGCTAGGGGGTGTCCAGGGTGTCTTTTGGACGCCCTGTACTGAAAATACTAAGAAATTGGACGCCCTACTTTTTGGTAGGACACCCTAAAGACGCCCTGTTTTTTTTCCACTCCAAACCCTGCCTTGCACACATGCCTCCCTTCAGCCTTACTATAAATACAAAAATGATGGTTTACTGAAGGAAAAAAACTCAAATTCCTCAAAATTTGTAACTCAAAATGCAAAAAGTAGTGTTTGAGAGCATTTTGACTTTCAAAAAAGGCCCCCTAGAAAGCTTGTGCACCGTGCATCTTTGCTGAGCATAGCATACAATGCAAAAAATGGACGCCCAACAAAAAAATCCTAGCTAAAAGCCTGCCCGGAGGTAACAAGTGCATATTACAATTTTTGGCAACTCCTCAGGGGTACTGTGGAGGCAATGCTACCTCACTCATGATTAGGTTGTAGTAGAGTACATGTAAATTACATGGTTACTTCAAAGGAGACAATGTTAAAAAGACCTAAAAACTTAATTTCTTTTTTTTTTTATCTCAGAAAAGTTTTTAAATTGTTTTTATCTTTAACATTTTTTAATAAATTCTTCTCCACCAGAATGTCCAAAGTGTCTTCTTGATAACAGGAAAAAAAATCGACAAGCTCAGATTAGAATGCAGTTGAAAGTACCAGTAGAAAACAAAACCTACTTTTGACCCAAATTTCTCATGGTCTCCATCCCTTTAACACTGGCTAGATGCAACAACTCAGATGCAAGTCTGGCAAACTCAACAAATTTGGTTCAAAACAAATTTTGGAACCAAAAAAAGTTGGAATGGATATATTGAGATGCTGTATAGTCCTGTGTGATAAAACGACTCCAGAACAGGGGTCAGAAAACTCCTAGCCATCCCAATTTTGGTGTCATTATTTTTTTGTGTGTCATCACCAGATGTCAGAGCGGTACCTGTAGAAATTAAAAGAATGTTTTTGTTCTGTTTCTGTGTCTTTGTGTCGTAGTTGGAGATGTTGAAGGCAGATCTAGATGAGCAGAGAGAGCTGGCCAACAACAGACTGGCAGAGTTGGAGAAATTACAGCAAGAACACCAGGTCTTATTGAAGGAGACAGAGAAACTCAAGATGGATGTGAGTATAGACCATTCCTGACTGTCATAATTAGCAGTTCAACCAATGACAGCATGGCAATTAACTGTTCAACCAATAAGAGAGTGGCAGCATATCCATCAAGTATTTTCATTGACAGAGGTTGATGGGGCTATAGGATATGGTCTATTGCATTTAAAAATGTGTTCTTTCTATCAACAAAAAATATATCACAAGAAATCTGGGATAATAGAAAGGTTTCTTGATTTTCTGGGAATTTCATGTTCACCCCATTTCCTGTGTCTGACCTTTTAACCCATTCTGCTTGTCAATCTTCCCCCACCCATGTGCCATCAACCTACATGTACATGTACTTTGTCTGGACCAACAGAATACATGTAAACCCTATATTAGTCCTGACCAATTTTCTTGTGATATTGTTAAGCTCATTTAGTATATAGTGCTCACATAATGTCTATATGTTAACTGTGTAATATTTGTTTCTCTGTTTTTAACACTAGCATACAATTTACCTCCACTTGCTTAGTTGCGCTGCCACATGCTAGAGGTTGTACTTATCGATCAATCAATAAACAATTATTACTATTATTTACAGTTGAAGAATCTGCCAGACAACGTGATCAGTGAGACGTCAGAGTACAAGTCGCTACAGTCACAGTACTCGGTCCTGTACAACGAGAGTGTGCAGCTGAAACAGGCGCTGGACGAGGCACGCGTTCTACTGAAGACCACCAAGAACACACACCTCCGACAGATAGAACAGATGGAGGTGGGTAACACTGCCTGATCAAGAACAATAGTAATGCAAATGTTAAAATGTACACAGTGGTTTTATTTCTGTAAGTGATTTCTCTACCACAAATTCATGACACTGAGAATATGGGGCTGCGATAACGTTTGTTCTGGCCTATTATATACAGCAACTAACTGTTTCATATGGAGTTCTAGTGGTTATCACACGGGCTTCCAAAAGTTTGATTTGAACATGTTTGCCACATGTGCCACTTTAAAAAATTTGAAATTAAGTGTTATGGATGAAGATTAATCAGGTATCACGCACTCTCACATGTTTCTCCTTCAGACATGATTTCCCTAGCAATCAACTGTCAAAATCACCCCCCACCGATTAGACCAGGCAACCAAAGCTATTAGGACAAACAGAGACACAAACCCACAACTCAGCCATCCAAAACCATATACTTTTGTACCGATAAGGCCACAGCAGTAATTTTTATGGATGACATCAGTGCACACAATAATTTTCGCCTGATTTTGGAAAAAGAAAAATTTTGTTACCCTCTGACAGTGGTCAACATGCCAAAAATTGGCAAAAATGTCTGTTGCCATGCCAGAACGAGGATGGCAGGTAAATATGCAGAGGGGAGACAAGACAAGGCTCTGATTTAATTAATGTTTTGTCTTTTAATATTTGATTCAGTGATGTATTTCATTCCTTTTATATCGATGGTGGCTGTGTATTATGTGATGTTCCCACTGAATCAAAACTATTGAAATGATTGAAAACGTTTATTTTTCAAAGCCGTTTAAGTGAGAAATGGATTTTGGATGTTGTAATAGTTGGCAGTAAACTTAGCACAATGTAGGCATCATTTCTTGTTTAAAAAGGTTTATGATGTCAAAATTTGAAGATTTGGGAATCTTGTTTTTTTTTTTGGTCTGCCTTGTTTTTTTTCGCCCTCTCGCATTAGTTCTGGAGTCTGCGGAGGATGTAATTTATATGTAGAATTTTAACATTCCTGGCAAGTAACTTACAATGTAGTATACACTCTGTTTAGTAGCCATAGAACATGTTTAGTATAATCAGGTACAACTGCTCACTGTACCCTTCATGTGTATAGTTTAGCTTAATGCAGAATGTACATGTAGAGTCGAAATATTCTCTAGCCAGTAGTTCTTTATAATACTTTGTCAGATACAATGTCCGTTGACCATATATATAGCACTATGTTAGACACATACTAACTAGTAATCTTATTATTTGCCATACATACTGTACCCGTGACAATCGTTGTGCAATAAACTTTGACTTTGACTTTGTAATCTGTAAAATTTATTTGTTGTGGCCTAAGTAATAAATGTACTAAAAATTTTCTGTGTACCCTACAGAGTGACGAGTTGTCCTGTCAGAAGAAGCTGCGTACAGAAGTGATCCAGTTGGAAGACTCGCTGGCGCAGGTCCGGAAGGAGTACGAGATGCTGCGGATAGAGTTCGAGCAGAATCTAGCAGCCAATGAGCAGGCAGGTAGGTCAAAGGGCAAAATCCTTCTACTTTCTTCAAGACTAGAGTTGGGTTGAGTTCTGGGAGTGAGAAACATATTTCTTTGTAATGAAGTTTATACATGTAGCCATAAGTGGTATGGCCACATACAATATATATTTGGCCTCATACAGTATATATTTGGCCACATACATGTACAGTATATATTTGGCCACATACAATATATATTTGGCCTCATACAGTATATATTTGGCCACATACATGTACAGTATATATTTGGCCACATACAGTATATATTTGGCTACATACAGTATATATTTGGCCACATACAGTATATATTTGGCCACATACAATATATATTTGGCCTCATACAGTATATATTTGGCCACATACATGTACAGTATATATTTGGCCACATACAGTATATATTTGGCTACATACAGTATATATTTGGCCACATACAGTATATATTTGGCCACATACAGTATATATTTGGCCACATACAGTATATATTTGGCCACATACAATATATATTTGGCCTCATACAGTATATATTTGGCCACATACATGTACAGTATATATTTGGCCACATACAGTATATATTTGGCTACATACAGTATATATTTGGCCACATACAGTATATATTTGCTCATTTTGCAACAAAACAGTTGCAAAATGAGCAAATATATACTGTATGTTGCAAAAACAATATCTAAAAACGATATCAATGTCGTCGAATGGCAAAATCAAACGAAAAAAGACGAAAATATAAATGAATGAATTTGAAGAGTTAGATTATTTGCCAAACCATATTCTGTGGCATTTGTTCAACCTTCATGACCACATATATAGATTTCATAATGAAAGCAACTTTTTTTTTTTGCAAAAGTTTTTTTTTATTCGCACGTGCGCATCAGTTTTGGGGTTCCCAGAGGATGTCATCCATAAAATCAAATCAACATGGCCTTATTAAGAAGAATAAAAAACCAAGAAGGGTGGAAAAAACTAGGTGTCAGATCGTCTTCATATAATTAAACTACAGGATAGATGAGATGAGTGCATTTTAGAAAATATGATTCCATTGTAACTGCAATGATTGTCTTGTATTTACTCAGGACCAATCAACAGAGAGCTCCGTCATTTAATCACAAGTCTTCAGGTAAGAAGGCACTGCCCAGTGTTCTATTTGGAAGATGTCAACAAAACTTTAGAAATCAAAGATTATTCTAGTTTTTATGAATTTCTTGTTTTATTCATTATTATTGTGAATTTCCTGCTGATTCTGTCTAAAATTATACATTTTTTCACTGGTTGCCATAGATGTGCATATTCATTGAGTTTCCAATCCCCAGAATGCATTGCGAAAACAGGGGTCTAAACCTCATTTGCATAGGACAGGAAGGCATCGGAATGATCCTGTTGATGTTAAACAGATTGTTTTTCAGTATGTTTTGAGGTGTTGGGGCATTTTATGCTCAACGTTAACTAAATTACTATGGGTCGAATCTGACAACAAATAGAGAATGAAGTTTTAGTGTTCTTTTCAACATGGAACATGTGGTTTGTAACGTTACAGCATCAGCATAGTGTTACCACTATAACGTTACAAACCACATATTCCCAAAAAATTCATTCTCTATTTGTTGTCAGATTCAACCCATATAGTAATTTAGTTAACATTGAGCATAAAATGCCCAAACACCTCAAAACACACTGAAAAACAAGCTGTTTAACATCAACAGGATCATTCCGATGTCTTCTGCCCTATGCAAATGAGGTTTAGACCCCTGTTTTCGCAATGCATCCTGGGGGATGGGAAACTCGTGGATAGCAGGAAATTGAAGACAGGAAATGAAATAACCTTTTCTGGGACCTTTGACCTAACTTTCCCACACAGAATCACAACCAGCAGCTGAAGGGGGAAGTGGCTCGCTACAAGAGAAAACTCCGAGAAGCCCAGACTGAAATACAGAAGGTACAGAATACATCAATAATTATTACTTTTATCTTGATGAATTTTGAGGAGAAGATATAAGTATCTAGATTTGAGCCAACACTGGAAATATGAATCAAAAGTATCAGCAAGAAAACAACTAGGAAGAAAAGGACTTTCCTCAACTGTTGGGGGCAAACTATGAGCATTTTTGAGTTGATTCCAAACCAGAATCTTTCTTTTTTTGGCAAATCAGAAAAAAAAAAATGAAGAGGCGAATCCGAGAACCAACAAATTAAATTGGTGTGGCCTAAACAATGTAAAAAGTTATAAGATCATATTAACTGAAATTTCTTCTTCGTCATTAAAACAGCTGAAGTCAGAAACTCCAGGAACGAGTCACAGTGGGGAGGCCCAGCAGAGGGAGGCTGCACCACCGGTGGAACAGCCTGCAGTGAAGAAGGAGGAGGAGGTAAAAGTGAAGGAGGAAGAGGTGAAGAAGGAAGAGCCTGAGAAGGAGAAGAAAGGTGATGAGGGTAGGGTGGATGGTTCTACATGTTTGTGTGGAGTGGAAGTACAGTCAAACCTGCCATGGTGACCACCTCTTCAAGCTGGTCACCTGCCCATGGTGTACCACTTTTTCTTGGTCCCAGAAATTTTCCCCATTGACACAAGCATTAAGCAACCTGTCCAAGGTGACCACCTGGCCGAAGCGACCGTGACAATCCTGAGTTGGGTCCGCTCAAGGCCAAATACCTGCCCATGGTGACCACGTCATTTTGATCATGCTGATTATTGATGATAACTAACGAGAAATGATGTAGAAACCAGCCAGTTTGCCTCCACTGCTGGTTAATGTTTTTGTCCGACATAACTTGTTCCATGTGCCACTCACCCCAAATGCATTTACAGCATTTGGCATTAGAACATCTTGACTTGGAAACCATTTATGTCTCAGTCATGTTGTGAGGCGACCCTCTTCAGGAGACCACCTGTCCAAGGTGACCATTTTTACGTCCCCTGGGTGGCCGGCTTGGACAGGTTTGACTGTATATTTTGGAGGCTGGTGTGCTCTCTGCTCTTGGTGAATGCTGTGTGGATTGGACTTGGTTTTGGATTGCCTACTAGTGTGTAGCTCAAACTCTTAGTGAGTGTATCCACCAGGGCTCTAGCCAGTACCCACTTTTCTGTCAATTGCAGGAACTTTGTGGCATGTGACAGAAAATTTAAAAAACAGTCCGTCAATCTTGATGGTCAAAATTGATGAAAATCTTGTGTAAAAAACAGTTAAGAAGAACAGTTAAGCATGCCTGGACCCCCCTATGATTGTTGTACATCGTAAAACAAAAATGAGATGACGGAAAAAATTTTCTAGAACACGTGCTAGAACACTTGGTGCTATACTGTGTAGTCTCTGGCCCAGACTACCATCCAATGCAATTTCAGGCAGCAAAACTGGAAATATTCTGAATAAGGCAATCTTTATGATATTGACACTGCTTCACATTAGCACATTTGAGTCAGTATGTTATACTTCAGGCTTTTAAAACTGCAGAAACAAGCCCCAAGATGAGTCCTTTATTTTCTGGGTGGGACCCTAAAAATCAGCCCAGGGCTCTTCTGTAACCTATTTCCGTCAGAATTTTGGGAATTTTTGCTTCATGAGGGTCAATATACATTGGGATAGTGTGGTTTTAACTCAGTATGTAGATAAATGACTAGAATATTGTCTTTGAAAAATTGGTTTTCCAAGCCCTAAAACTGCACTGGATGCCTTTAATTGCATTTTACCTTGATGTAAACTCAGCTGAGTTGGGACTTTTCCTTGCTGTTTGATAAGCTTGTGGTACATTGAAATACTAAGTCTTACATGTACTAACAAATATAACTGGAGTAACAGCTTTTTAAGTGTGCTGTTCAATGGTGTGCATCTGTAATACAATGTAGTCCTGTTTTAAGTGGTTACCTCCATGGTTACATCATTAAGATACCATTTTGCTTTTCTTGTGTTTTCACCAATGTCTAATAGGTGACAAGAAGTCGGACTCAGAAATGATAAAACAGCTCAAGACAGACCTGAAGAAGTCTCAAGAAAACCAGAAGGAAATGAAGCTCCTGCTGGATATGTACAAGGGCGCCCCCAAGGAGCAGAGAGACAAAGTGCAGGTAAGAGGACAGACTGTTCTGTGGCTTCATTTTTTGATGTGTGGGTTTCCATAAACTTCAATGTTATTCTTAAGCTACAGCAAGTAAATTTTATGGATGACATCCTCCACAGACCCCAAATCTAAAGTGAGAGGGCAAAAAAAACAAGGCGGGCTGAAAAAAATAAGGTTTCTACATTTTAAAATTTTGACTCAATCATAATTGTACAAATGGTTTTGATTCAGTGGGAACATCACATATACACAGCCAGCATCACATATCACTGCATCAAAGTAAGAAACAAAAGATTGTCATAGCCTTTTCTTGTCTCCTCTCTTTATAGTATCTGCCACCCACCTTCCGGTATGGCAACAGACATCTTTGCCCATTTTTGGTATGTTGACCACTGTCAGAAGGCAACAAAATTTCTTGTTTTTTTTCCAAATCAGGCTAAAATTAATGCACGCGCTGATGTCATCCATAATAAATACTTGCTGTGGCCTTACCAGAGACTTCAATGTTATTCTTATGGTCATTAACTACAGTTATTTAAATCATCCTATCATTCTTGGGGAAGTGTAACATCTTAATTCAATTATTAACTTAAGCTGCAAATGTATTTGGGTACACATCCTGATAGCTCAACATTACATGTACACAGTGACAGAACGCCACCTAGTGAGTTGCAGTGGAACTCCATAATGACTGGCTAACATAGACATACATGCACATGTATGTAATTTGAATCTCCTAGGTATGCTGGCCTAATACACTGTAGTATGTTGTATTTCCTGAAGTCTTCTATCTTTAATACAACTTTGCTTTGAGTTTTGTAGCTTTTAGTTTTATATGCACAATATTTTTCCTTTACTCATTACAATAAACTTTCCTCCATTCCCTTTAAAACTTGTCTATGATTTACTTCGGTTAATTCTGATTTTTTTCTTCATCATTTGAATTTACCCATGCTCTTGTCTGTGAATCATTCTTCTCATGTCCTTGAGTTTCAACATGTTCAGAGCTCGAAATACCGGTTGCACTTTTATGCACCCAAAATTGGAGCTGTGCTCATACATGTAATTCTTCAGTAAAGAACAAGAAATAGTCATGCCTTCAAGTACCAGAGTTACTTGTGTCAGCTAAGGTTTCAGGTGTTCAGAAACTTGTTTTTTTTACTAGAAATATCGTAGAGAGGAGCTGCCATCAAGTACAGTAGGGGCACCTTCACTAGATACAATGTAGCTTTAAACAACGCTTGCAGTTAGATGTTCAAGGGTTAGATGTAACAAGTTGTTTGGTGTAATGTAGCCAGCTGCCGCTGCGCCGTGTGCCTGTGAAGCTGGTGTGTTACTCTGAAGGGCGGTTATGTTGGCCAAATAGATAGAAATAATGATTTTATATATTTACAGAAAAATTAGGTTTCGTTGACATTTTCCTTAATCTTAGGTGCACCTATCCCCCCCAAAACATGCCTTCAAGTACATGTACCAGACTTATCAACCAAGGATGACGTGTTCAAGAATTCATTCTTTCCTAGAACTATTGCAGAGTGTCATAAAGTACAGTAGGGGCATTATCATTAGATAGCTTTAAACAATGCCTAGAGTTAGATGGTCTAGGGTTAGGTGTAACAAGTCGATCGGTGTAATATAGCCAGCTGCCGCGTGCCTGTGAAGCTGGTGTGTTACTCCAAATAGACGGTTACACTGGCTATACAGATACAGATAAAACATATTTCGAGCCCTGAATTCTTCCTTTTTTACTTCTTGAGACATCTTCTGCTCCCTTCCCTCTCTCCTTTAGCTCATGGCGGCCGAGAAGAAGGCCCAGGCAGAAATCGAAGACTTGAGGCAACAGAAGCAGGAGATGGTGTGTGTGAGTTCTTCCCTCCGCGCACAGTGGCACAGCCCGTAGTCGCTCGCTGGCTTGTGTGTGAACCCCTGTGCATGAGCGTGTGAAACCCCGTCGTGGCAGTGGCAGTAGAGTGTGTGCTAAAGCCGTACTGATTTGATCACATGGAAAACATCCAAAAACTGATGAAATCTAGGAAAGTTTTGCAAAAAGAAAAACTTTTCCTATCAGTGCCCTTATATAAGCTGGCTAACTGTTTAAACTGTGCAAGCACAGTGTGATGCATGTCAAAGTTGATAAACGAAACATGTAGACATGAAAAACTGATGCAAGTGTACAAACAAAATTTAACTGGTGTGTTACGCCTTAAGGCAGTTATGCAAAACAAACAAACAAACAAACAAGATGGCTTGAACCTCTGTGACCCTGAATCAAAAGTTTGGCAAAAAAGTTCTTACAACATCAAAGTGGTCAGGAACACAATGACTGGACACAGAATATTGTATAACAAACAATTATTTGTCATTTTTGCTCTTTCTCATCTTTGACTTTGGAAGACTTAGTGGTACAAGCAAGTGGTACATGTAATTTGAACCCTACTTCCCTTCCTCTGGTATCTTATTCTTTTCCTTTTGACCTCTGTCATCCTTCAAGTACCTAAAGAAGCAGTATGGTCCAGGCCTCAAAATTAACTTTCTTCCTATAGTCCCAAAACTGTCCCAAAAATAAATTTCAATTATCACGAGTTTATCGGAGCCAAAAGCCAGGACGTGTGCCTGATAAACAAAAGAAGGGCTAACATTCTGATGTTCATTATTTTTCTATTGTCCCGAAAATGTCCCAAACCGTCTTTTTAGTTGTCCCAGCCTAAATTTTAGTGGTCACTGGCCACCGGGACATGTTAATTTCGAGCCCTGTGGTCACAAACTTTGTTTGGGAACTGGCGAAAACTGATGCATGTGAGGATGTCATCCATATAATCAAGTCAGTATGTGCTAATATCAGCACGTCGGCAGAACGTACTTCACCTGCGCGAAACCCGTAATGTATTATACATGTACATAGCGTTTCGGCAGAATGTCTCATATAAGGTTGTATTCGCTTAGGTTAGCATTTCGACAGTAGTTTCCAAATGTTGTGTCGGAAAGAATATCCTCTTCAACAGGCAAAATTCTGATGCAACATTGACCAAAAACCCAACGGAAAACGAGAAAATACGGGGTTCTGCGCAGGCGCAGTACGTTCTGCTGACGTGCTGCTAATATCTGACACTAACGACAGAATGGGCCCAGGTTCTAATGCTCGCTTTGTTTGCAGCGTACCGTTGTTCGTCTTGGCTTGGATAACACGTTTGAGCGGCCGGCTTGTTAAACGGTGTTAGATCACGATGGACAGAATTGCATGACAGAGAAGTGTAAGACACCTTGTGGTCTCTGTTCCACAGTTGATGGCAGCTGAGAAGAAAGCTCGAGCAGAGGTGGAAGAACTGAAACAGCGCATCAAGTCCATGGAGGAAAAGGAGAGACAGGAGAGCAAGAAGTTGGCCGATGAGGAAGCCTTGAAGAAATTGAAAGCAGCGGAGGAGAAAATGCAGGAACTCCAAAAAAGTCTCGCTGCCACAAAACAGGTGAGAACAATAAAAAAATAATCAACTTGCTTAAACATTCTTTAAGTTCTAACAAATTCTTAAGATTCTTGTTGGTGAGCATGGTAATAGAATTATTTTCTGTCCTTAGGCCACACCAATTTAATTTCTTGGTTAACGGATTTTTCTAGAAAAATAATGGAGCAGGCGGGCGAAAAAGAAATAAAAATAAAAACAGGCTTAGGCATCGTATTATGGCCCAAAATGGTACGATAAGAGCCATGAAGTCAACACACCAGGCTGGTTCAAAATTTAAACAATGAATTTTGAATTTTTAATGATACCATTGCATTGAAAGATGGAATAACTGTAACAACTAGGATGAAAAGGTCTGTTTTCAACTGTTCAGGGCAAAATATGAGCATTTTGCAGTTGATTCTGGATTTTTATTTTTATTTGCAAATCAGAAAAAAATGAAGCGGCGAATCCGTTAACCAAGAAATTAAATTGGTGTGGCCTTAAGAAAAAAGGAGAATAAAATTCTTTGTGTAAGAATCAACATACAGAAACTTTGAAGAATGTTTTCTTGAATTTCTTGAAAATTCCCCTGGCAAGAAAAAATTTCTCAACATGAGAAAACAAGAAAAAATTTTGGTTTAGTGAATAAATTGGATATGTCAAAGTCATACAATGTAAAATAATTAGGATAAACTAACGTATACATAGTGCTAGATATTAGGCAGCAATTCAAAACTAGTTAAACTATATTGTACATGTAGCTTGATAATTACTAACCTACACACCATACAAGAGATACATACATGTAGTTTCAGTAAGTTATACATTGTACTGTAGATGTTCTTACATGTAAGTCCATATACTATAAAATGTAGACTGTGTTAAATTCTTAAGATATGCACTTTATAGTAGTTATGAATGTCTTCCAGACTACTTTGGGACAATCTAGTCTTTACTCTTAACTTTTAAAGAACAGTATATATTGTTATTATTCAAACCATAATGTACAATATGACCACGATATATACTAGTTTATTCTCCAAACAAGTCATGACAATACAGTTAAAGCTCCCCCTACCGCTTGTGATGTGAAGGGCACCCTACCAAACATGGCATAGTTTAGTAACACGAAAAGGGAATGGCCACACTCAGCAAAACCTGCACAATGCCAGCTTTCTCATAGTATAATAGAGTCATACTTCAGGCCAAAGTACAATGCATACTAGGTGGCAGAGGTGTGACAAATGACGTGACCAATTGCAGCCATCCATGCATCCATACTGTAGCTAGAACCGCTCCCATAACAACTAGAACCACACCAGTAATGGTATGGTAGGCTTCTGACTCTTGCTGGTGTTCTGTGTTTGAATCTGGGCCGGTGACTGCTCCAGGAAAGTGTACTCGATCTCTCTCAGTAAGGTTCTCTTCTTCAGTATGTAGTTCTGTGTGGAGGAGTGGATCTTCCTCAGTTGTTGTCTGCTCCAAGTGGACAGTCATCATGTCTTCGGAGTCTTCATCGCCTGAGGCGTTGATGAGGTGTCCTTCAGTCTGGAGTGAAGCTTGTTCCATTTGTAACTGGAGACACATTCTAGATACTCTGGATAGACTTGTCATTTTGTAACAGTGGGGGTTTATAGGCGATACCAACTGACCCGGCCGATGGGTCTAGGCCTTTTAGCCGATTTGTTAGAGCGTCGGGGTCAGAACTGGTGCTCGGGTTTGGTCGTGGGTTCGAACCCCGGCCAGGGACCAGGAGGGTTTTTATCTGTTTCTACTTGCTCCTCCTGTTTCTTACAATTTCACAGTTCTGACAGCCTTTCTCACAAATTTTTGCCTAGACTTTGAAGCGTACTCAGTTCCATGTTGGTGCCAAAATTGAGTGCTTCCTCATATAGAGTCAGTCAACGTAACTGAGATCTTATCCCTTGGATCTGTTTTATCAACCATATGATCATATATATCATCATATGAAATATATCATTGTGGTCAGTTCAATGCAGTTAGTACATACCTGATTTGTCTTAGTTTGGATATCTTTACTCCAAAGTTACTCCAAATTCTGGTAACTGTTGTAGATGTTCCAGCAATCCTTTCAGAAACTGGCTCTTTGTCCTGGAGAATTTGCTTCGTGGTTGAACGAATCTTGAATCCTTTGGACAAATTGCTTACTAGAAGGCAACGTATCTTGAGGTGTTTTCTTGAGGAGTAGATTTTCTGGATCTCCTGTTAAGACGAACCCCAGCAGTTTCTTGAAGAAGTCGAGTCAGTTCTCTCAACTGTCTTTTGAGTTTCTTCCCAAAGACTACAACGTGCTACATGTACATGTAGTCAAGCGTACAAGGTACAAAATGTAGACCAGTATGTAATTATCCCATAATTATTAACAGCTGAAGAACCTGTTTGACTGAAGAAGGGACCATTAAAGATTTCACATAGGTGGGGTAAGACGTTTTAGGTTATGCTCGATTTCTTTTGAAAATTTCATAGCCGTGGAGATTGACATCATTTAATCAGCAATGAGACAGTAATAAACTTCAGAATGAATCATTTGTTTGAAATTGCCAGAGCCACATTTTTTTGCTATACTTTGAAGTTTCCATAATTTTGACACACCCCCTGTGAGTGCTTATGGATTGGCCCATGTGACGATTGACCCACATGTACAATGTAGTGTAATAAATCTTCTTGTTCTCACCCTTTTTGCGGTGTCCTCTCCACAGCAAATTCACAAGTTGCACATTCCCAGGATCCTTTGCGCACAGGGTGGGGAAAGGTCGCGGTAAACCGCGTGACTCATCCTCGGCTCCTCTGGTCGGAAGAAGGTGCCCTAAGCGATATCTGGCCGATAGTAGGCTGGGAGCATTCAATTTCAAAAGTCTGTCTTTTTGTCACATTTTCACGTAGTATGTTGAATCAACCCTATCCTATCCCATACCGATAGTCATGGAGCAAAAATTCGATGTCGCTTTGCCGTACGAACGCCGTACGAACGCCATGAAAAACTACGTGCCTCCCGCCGCCGGCGGTGGTGTCAGCCATTTTTGAAATTTCCGAACGCTCGCGAACACTTCCGACTTCTTCCGACCAGAGCCGAGGATGAGTCACGTGGTTTACCGCGACCTTTCCCCACCCTGTGCGCAAAGGATCCTGGGAACATGCAACTTGTGAATTCATAACACTGCTAACAACATACATCTCTAGGACCACACTAATTTAAATTTTTGTTTCTCGGATTTGCCCTGTCCATTTTTTTTCTGATTTGCACCAAAAAAAAATGTAGGTTCTCAACTGTAAAATGCTCAATAAAAGACATAGTTTGGACCTAACAGTTGAAGAATGTCCCTTAATTTATTCATAGTTGTTAAAGTTGTTATTAGTGTAACAATGAAAATTTGTTTCATTAAAAGTTCAAAATCTATTGTTTTAATTATTATAAACCAGCCTGGTATGTTGACTTTATGGCTGATATTGTAACATTTCCGGTTATCATGGGGTGCCTTGGTCTGTGTTTGCAAACAGGGTAGTTATTGGGAATGATAATCATGATAATTATTATGGGTTCACCACACCACGAAGTGGTGTGGTGAAACCATATTGCTTTTTCTGATGTTTCTTCTCCTTCTCCTCCTCCTTCTCCTCCTCCTGCCATATCTTTAAATGGATTCAGCTTCTTCATTTTAGGGCCTAAGGTCCTGAAATTTGGTATGGAGGTACAGTGGGCAAATACCCCTAGGCGTTTTTTAAATTATTGTGATACAGGCTTTTAGAATGGTTTTATTTGAGTTTTTTGGCTGTGTAATAGCTAATGTATTACTGTGTAAGTGTGCAGTGTTTACCACATTTGGACATGAGTCATCACAATGGCATGCAAGGCATCAACCAATAGGCATGCAGCTTTCCTCTATTCTCCTTGCTGATTGGCTGTTGGGATTTAACTGGCTTAACTTCATTTACACCTGCACAGAGCCATGCCATACTGACAGTATGTCTGTATTCAAGTGTTTTGGTAGGTATTTTAAGCTTTCCTGCTCCAGCATTGGAATGCGGGCTATGAACGCTTCTTTTTATCTTGAAAATCAACAGTTTGCATTATGCAATCCTAACCAATAATGTAGGGAATAGCTATCCAACTGTTGTAGTCTTAGTTGTATGTTACTTCATACTATAGTTATATCAATGTAAAGCATTGTTTTCCCTTGTGTTTCTCATTCTTTCCCTGCCATGTGGTAAAATGTGGTGAACCCATCGCTATATTTGCTCCAAAGCAAATATTGGCCTTTCTAGTTATGTACCATATTTGCAGGTAAAATGACCAAAACAATTACAACGATATATTCAAACAGCCAGACATTTATTAATTTCCATTTCTTTTAACCCACCACATAACACACATAGAATCTCTAACCCTCACACTGTATTATCCGTCATATTATGATTTATAATATATGACCAACCCCTCCAACTCTGCCACTTGCTACATAATATCATCAAACACCACAGGATTTCTGCTACAGCACCAGTTACCATGGTGACTAAAACTAAGTGTATCCATGACTTTAGGCAGCAAACCACTCAAAAAACAATATTGCTGATGTTATTTCTAACTAATTATAACCTACAGACTGTACAAACATGCTTTCAATAATAATACAAGAGAAGCATGAAACATAGTATAAATTACTTCACAATGATATACATGTACACGACTACTTGTAGATGTTCCTAAGTCCACGAGGCTTTAAAATGACATAAAAGTACATACATGTATTGAAGACTATATTCAATTCTAAGGACACATTGATGATATCAATATCTTCTAAAATATGTATGTGTGGGACAATCTAACTCTATACAGTTGATATTATTCATGTCGCATGTACAATATTACCAATACCATTACACAGTTTATTCTCCAAACAAGTCATGACCACCAGTGCAGCCACACCTACTGCAGTTAAAGCTCCCCCTACCGCTTGTGACGTGAAGGGCACCCTACCAAACATGGCATAGTCTAGTAACAAGGAAAAGGGAATGGCCACACTCAGCAAAACCTGCACGATGCCGGCTTTTTCCAACTTCAGGGCAAAGCACAACAGATAGGTGGCAGAGGTGTGGCAAATGACGTGCCCAATCGCAGCCATCCATGCATCCATACTGTAGCTAACATCGCTCTCAGAACTCGCCGTTTCGTACAGGAATTTCAAATTGAACGGCAACAGGTACAGGATGGTGGTGAGTTGTACAGCAAACACCAAGATAGTGGGGTGAACGTTATTCTTTAGCAGGGCACGAGCACCAACAAATGCAGTGGAAACAATCTGAGGTAGGAGGATAGCTATTACACATTTTTCCGGCGATGTTTCCGGGCCACTTACCGGCTTTTGTATCCCTGTTATAAAGAGGAAAGTGCCAACGAAACAGACTCCTATGGTCCACAGTTTTTCTTTGGCAAACTTCTCAGAAAGAAAGCAGTAAGCAATAGCAGTGGTGTAAGTAGGAGCCAATGATAGGATACATGTTTGAAAGGACTCTCTCGGGAGGTCAAAGAGGTAAGACATAGGAGTTATAACTGTAGCAAGGGTTGCTGCCAGCCCTACCATCATGAGTGTAGGTATCCTTGATTTCATTGGTACTTGGGACTGCTGTGGCTCGTTGAGCTCGTATGATTTAACAAATGCTAAGCACGCCATCGCTCCGAGATTGAGCGTGAAGGCGTAAACGCTTCGGAACAGCAGAAGGTGCGAGGTTTTGACACCAGCTGCTGTACACAAGCCGAAGTAGTGTTCTGCCAACGCAAACACAGCAGTGCTCACTATAACTAGAACCACACCGGCTACGGTAGGGGCGGTTCAGGCTCCTCTTGCTCGTCTTCTGTGTTTGGGCCGGTGACTGCTCCAGGAAAGTGTAGATCTCTCTCGGTAAGGTTGTCTTCTTCAGTGTGTAGGTGTGAGGGTTCTGTGAGGAGAAGTGGATCTTCCTCAGTTGTTGTCTGCTCTGAGTGGACAGTCATCATGTCTTCGGAGTCTTCATCGCCTGAGGCGTTGATGAGGTGTCCTTCAGTCTGGAGCGGCTCTGGCTGTATTCTTAATTGGAGATACATTCTGGACACTCTGGACAGCATTGTGTGGTCAAAGTTCTGTCAGCGTTCCCCACAAATTTCTCTTCGGACTTTGAAGCACACTCCGTTTCACTTTGGTGCTGAAATCGTATGCTTCCTCATTTAGAGTCAACTAGCCTCACATCTGTTTCGTCATTTGTGATTGTTGAAACGATAGTGGTCAATTCAATGCAGTCACGTACCTGATTTGCTACTTGTCTATGTCCCGATTCTGGAAATTGTAATGTGCCTGACAGTCCCAAACCTTCAGAAACTGTGTTTTCCTCCTACAGAATTGGCTTCACGGTTGAGTGAATCTCGAATTCCTTTAGAAATTGCCTCAGCAACGTGTCTTCCTCAGGAGTAGATTTGCTGGATCTTCTGTTAAGACGATCGGTGGTGGTGTCTTGGAGGAGTCCAGACAGTTCTTTCAACTTTTAAGTCTGAGTTTTGTCCTGGAGAATCTAGAAGACGTGCTGGCAGCAGGTGTTGTGGTGGTGTGAGCACTGACCAGTCATTAAGGCAGTGCTGACTGTACTAAGCAGAAACAGGAAAAACCTGTTAAGTTTACCTCCAGAAGATACCATTATATTTTTTTTTTACACAGGTCGGTTTAAACATTTTGCTTTATGCTCAATTTCTCTGACACATCCTGAGATATTGACATCGTTTTAATGATGAATGAGACAGTAATAATCTTTATTATGTTTGAAATTAGCAGAGTATTCTTTCCATTTTGACACCCCCCTGTGATTGTTGATGGACTGGTCTATATCATGTACTGTACATATCTTTGTTTACATGGTGACACCGCAAAGTCAACGTGGCTCTACAATGCATTACAGTAACTACAGTAAGTGTACTGCAAAAGTGTTTCAGCCAGCAACTGAGAGCACTATGAAAACCTCCTTTACCCTTCTACTGACGTACAGTATTTTGGCCTTTATGTAGCCAATTAATATGCAATTAGGGCAGTGAGAGAGATTGCCTTAGGACACGTGGCGTGGTCTATGCTTACACAATTGTGGGTTTCAATAGTTGTCTTAACAGGTGTACATGTACGTCACATGTCAATAGACAAGACAGAATTACAGATAATTCCGCATACAGTATAATGGAGCCAAGAAAAAGGGAAATGACCTTAAGCCACAGCAATTTAATTTGTTGGTTCTCGGATTTTTTCATAAAAAATATGAATTGACAGGGCGAAAAAATAAAAACAGGGCTAGGCATCCTATTAAAGCCCCAAATGCTAAGATACATGTACACATGTACATGTAGGAGCCATGAAGTCAACACAAAAGGCTGGGTTGATATTTAAGGAATGAATTTTGAACTTCAAACCACTGCATTGATAGATGGAAAAACTGTAACAACTAGGAAGGAAAGGACTTTCCTCAACTGTTGGGGGCAAAATATGAGCATTTTTTAGTTGATTCAGAACCAGAATCTTTTTTCTATGTTGAAAATCAGGAAAAAATGAAGAGGTGAATCCGGGAACCAACAGATTAAATTGGTGTGGCCTTAATTACATTGTGCAATTCCCTCCAGTTGCAGGAAAACCCAAAACACTTCTTGGAAGTGTGAAAATTCCGGTTTGTTATATATCATGTCCAGGATAGAAGACTTTTTTTAAATTTATTTTTCATTTTACAAAATAACAAATAAACACAACAATAACACAAAAGATAACACCATCAATTACCACGGATCCAAAGCAGAAATACAGCAACACTTACAATGTAGTATTACATCGGGTGACACCGGTTAAGGGAAGGTTGTGTGTACAAAATGTATCTTGTCTGTAGAGTGAGAAATAGAAGATAGTGGGTGTAGATTTGGTTTCAGTTGATTGGCAGGGTTGTGTCCCAGCACGTCCTGGGTGATAGGATGTGGTATGAGTTCAGCAGAAATGTGTATTCTGTAATGGACTGGTATGAAATTTAAACCATAGTGTAATTATACCAGAGTAAGTTACATTTAGTATAATTACTATAAACCAAAGTGTAATAACAGAGTAAGTTACATGATAATGCCATGTTATATCATGCAATGCATACAATCATACAATTATGATGTAATTCAATCAGGTACTGCTGCATGATCATACAATATGGTTCCAATACAAGGGGACTAGCCTGTGAAACCCAAGCTCCGGGGGGCTCCCTACATGGCAAACTACTAGGGAGCCGGCGAAAAGCGAGGTTCAGTCAGGCTACAAGGGGACCTGCATACCCTTTTTCGTAAGGCGTAATCAGGCCTTTTTAGTCTTTGTAACCTGTAGGCAGCCTCTCACAAAATCAACGTAATTGGTAATACATGTAGCCGCAAAGCGTAAAGTCGTATCCAGCTCTGAGACTTCAAAGTAATTCGTGATCGGCGGTGAAAATTTTCTGTAATTTCATAATCACTGCCCCCCCCCCATGTGCAGGCCCTCATATAATCCAAAAAACCCAAACTACTTCTCATTAGTCTGAAATGTTTGTTTTCTTGTTTCCTTGCTGCCCAGGAGGAGGATGCCCTGTTGTCTGAGATGGAGGTGACAGGACAGGCGTTTGAGGACATGCAGGAACAGAACGTGCGGCTGCTGCAACAGCTGCGGGAAAAGGACGACGCCAACTTCAAACTCATGTCAGAGGTGGGAGGGCTCTGCTCTGTTTTTAATGAGCAACTTATAAAATCATTGTCAAAGAAACAGTTTTGTGTGTGATGAAACGTCTCATCACAATATGTTTTTGCATTGCTCCTTTTGGATTTGGGATGTTCTCCGTAAGGTTTATCTTTGGGGTCAACTCACTTTCACCTTAAACTGTCTTAATTTTATGGATGCCATCCCCTGAACACCCCCAAACTAGTGCACGTGGGGGAATAAAAAAAATTCTGGCCAAAAATAAAAGTGCTACTAAACCACAGGAATACAAAGCTGGTATTGTGAATTTGCGGTAGTACATAGCGATGTATACGATAAGCCGGCACATGCTGGCTTTTTGCAGAAATTGTAAATCGTCACTATGCGATTGTACTGAGTTCTTGCCGTCATGGAGCTTTTGTAGCCCGGGTGCCACCCTCCAGAAGCACCACCAGCTCCATATTGTCGCTAACTACCATGGACTACCCTGGCAAGAACCCTGGAGGACGTGCTTTTTTTTGTTGTAAAAACAGGTGAAAATCAATGCGCGCACAGATGTCATCCATAAAATTACGTCAGTGTGGCCCAAGTGGAGTGAGGAAATACACTGTACATGCAACTTTTTTTAAAGTGACTTTACCAAGTGCACAACAACGAGGCCTGTTCAGTATTTGAGCCCCAAACCTTTGGATACTAAGTCAACAAGCCTAACCACAAGTCCACCTTGCCATCTTAGCCTGCTTTTATTCCGACATTCCTACATTTCTGACATAGTGTTAGGGTTTTCGAAACATACCGGTACTCGTATTTTCCAATTACTATCGCAGATTGGAACTCGTTGCCACCAAAGAAAGTTGGGGCATCATCACTACAAAGCTAAAGAATTCATGCAATTAAATGTGCAAAGATTGGGTATGACAGGTCGTTCGGTGTTATAGCTAGCTGCCGCCACGCCACTTGCTTGCAAAGCTACATGTAGTATGTTACGCCGAAGGGCGGTTACACCAGCTATACCGATACATTGTACAATGTTGTCAGAAAGTTGGGGTGTCAGGACATACCAGGTAGGGAGGTTGGAACATAGACATCTAAGTTACCACTTTTCAGCATGCATACATGTACATGTATATAATTATAAGTGTTGGCTAATGCCCAACCTTTCTCTGACATTTGTCCATGTACAGAGGATCAAGTCCAACCAGATCCACAAGCTTCTGCGGGAGGAGAAGGACGTTCTTGCGGACCAGGTGATGACGTTACAGACACAGGTGGACGCCCAGAACCAGGTGGTGAGAAAACTGGAGGAGAAGGAGAGGATCCTACAGAACACTCTGGCGACCTTGGAGAAGGAGGTCAACATGAGGGCACAGGCCATGGAGATGCACAAGAGAAAGGTACAGTAGTGTTAGTGTTAGTCTGGAACAGGGAACAACAGACAATAAACCGGACAGTGAGTGAGTGAGTGTTTGTGGTGACTTAAAAATCCGTAGAATAATATTTCCCTCGAACATTTCCCTCCTCTCTAAATCCCCGAAACTTTAACAACATTGCAGGCTAAAACAGCCTGAATGAAACCACAAACAAGACTGGCAATGAAAACATACATTGGCATGGTGCCGGTGGTTATTAGGGTTATTGTTTGCATGGTACTGCCATGATTTCATGATTTTGAGGAAGCCTTGGTACCCTCCCCTCCCCTGAGTGTATAGTGAACGAGCCCCGGGGTCACAGAAAGTAGGGCATCCGAGGCAGAAAGGTTTTCCCAAGGGTTTCCAGGAATGTGGGCATGTCAACAAACAGAGCTGGGAGACATTCCTGTGGACATTCCATACCTGTGAACAAAATTCCTGTACAATTCCTAAAATTCTTGCAAACTGCACACAGTACTGTACCATTAGGTTCCCCCCTGAGGTGTTGCAAAAACAAGTAAAGTACTGTAACAGTATTAACAGTTTCCCTTGTTTTGCAGGCCGTTGAGTCGTCACAGCTGGCAAACGACCTGAAGTTCCATCAGGACGACATCCAGCGCCAGGCCACGCACCTAGAGGAACTCATTAAAGAGAAGTCTGCTGCTGTAGAAAAGGAACAGTTCAAACATAGAAGAACACAGGTATGTTTATACTGCAAATCACTTTTATTTTGTGGTAGCAAAAGTTCGCATTCTGAGAAAAATGGACGTATTCACAGAACTATAAGTTCATGGTGGCACCAGGTGCAGAAAAAAGAAAGTCAGCAAATTATTTGTTAACCGTAATGATAAATTCACAGTGCAGAAGTGGTCGCAAAAACCACAAAAAATATAAAAGTACTGCGAACAAATTTTGACGGTGTTTAATCTTTTTATGGGACGAAGGATTTACCACATTTGTGGCAGAATTGACAAAACAGGTGACTATCATATTTTATTCATCAGATACTAATTATATGAAGCAAGTTTAAAAGTGTAATTTCCAACACAAGAAATTGGACCCAAATTTTCAACTGTACAACACCAGTCTTTGTCAAGGAATGAGCAACCATCGTTTCTGTGACATTACATTTTTAGATGTGACTTGGTGAGCAGTGGATCATAGGTTGCAGGAAGTTTGTGGCGACCACCGTCTTGACCGTTTTAACTTTTAACCTCCAATCTAACCTCACTTTCTCTAAGCCAGTAGGGAGACTATTTGGGCCTCCAACTTGACCTTCCTTTTAGTCTGTGGTTACACCATTTCCCCCATCACTTCCTTTGATGATGATGATTACAAAATTCAAGCTCTTCTGCTTTTTTGTCTGCAGGAGGAATGTTCCAGCTTACGAAGAAAGCTCGACAGACAAAAGAAGTACGACTTCTTTGAGAATGCAGATGAGGTGCTAATGGAGGAGATCAAAACTTACAAGGTGAGCGCAGATCTTCAGTTTGAACTTTTCTGTTTCTTTGGTTGCACACGACTGGCCACACCAATTTGATTTGCTGATTTTTTTTAGAAAAAATATAAAGCAGCACGGCGAAAAAAAGATAAAAATAAAACAGACCATGGCATCCTATGATAGCCCTAAATGCTATGATAGGAGCCATGAAGTCAACATAACAGGCTTTTTTGTAATTCACACAATGAATTTAAGACTTTTAATCAAACCACTGGATTGATAGATGGAAAACTGTAACAACTCTGAAGAGAATGGACTACCTTTAACTGTTGGGGCCAAAATATGAGCATTTGGGAGTTGATTCAGAGCCTGAAATGTTTGTTTTTTTTGCAAATCAGAAAAAATGAAGTGGGCGAATCTGAGAACCAACAAATTAAATTGGTGTGGCCTAAAGACTAAATCTGTGAGATGATTAGTTGTGCTATATCTATTATCCTGAACTATTTATACTTCTTGGAGGGTCTGAATGGGGGATCCTTGCAGTGCTTAACGGTGAATTTAGGGGGTTAGCGGTGAATTGAAAAAGCTTGCTACGCTTCATTAAAAAGGCATGCAGACCCTCTTCCTTCCAGTAAACGGTGCATTTTGTAACTTTAACCAAATTGTTGTTTCGTGTTGCAGCAAAAACTTACATGTCCATGCTGCAACACCAGAAAAAAGGACGCCGTGCTCACCAAGTGTTTCCACGTCTTCTGCTTCGAATGTGTCAAGACGAGATACGACACCAGACAACGCAAATGTCCCAAGTGTAACGCAGCTTTCGGTGTCAACGACTTCCATAGATTATATATGTAGTGACGTTAATACCATTCCTAATTACTTTCTGTTCTTATTGTTGTAAACACAAAAGAGGTATTTGTGTTGGTAGTCCTGAGTAAGGGCGCGGTCATAAGTACCTCGACAGAACGTACTGCACCTGCGCGAAACCTGTAATGTATTGTGCATAGCACTTCGGCAGAGCGTCTCATATAAGACCATATTTGCGTATATAAGGTTAACATTTCGTCTGTAGTTTTCAAATGTTATGTCGGACAAGATATCCTCTGCAACAGCCAAATTCTAATGCAACGGTGACCTAACGTCCAACGAAAAACGTGAAAATTCATGGTTTTGCACAGGCGCAGTATGTTCTGCCGACATGCTGCGGTGATATACGTTGTGTACGCCAGGCATTAAATGTGGGATCGCAGACATTTTGAGGATATTTGTGCACGTGTCCTGCAAAATGTAGCTGTCTTGTTATGGAAAAGACTGTATTAGAACCTTTTCAGCTGTTAGTTCTGTCATAGTCTACTTAAAAATTCTACCGCATCAAAATTGTATCATGACCTACAATGAACGTGGCCGCTCCGTAACTAGATATACTGGTACTCAAGATTGGAAACATAGCTGTCAGAATTAGATTTCAAAACAGAAATTATCATACATAATGCCAGTAATGAAAGCAATGCAGGACCAGGCTTTACTGTAAGTGTATAATGTAGCAAACGGTATGCAGGACCAAGAAAAGAGGAAAATGGCATATGTTGTTGACATTAGGAAAACACTGCTGAAATGTATGGCAGATTGTTTCACAGTTGAAAATCCATGTGTATAAGAAGGTTCATAGTTCCAACTGCACGTGCATAGTGATGCATTATAGGTAATATGTTAAAGTTGAAGGCTACGCAACACCTTCGACCAGGATTTGTACATGTCCAAACCAGTTTTGTGTATGTGTCAGGGACCTTCAACATTTACATATTACTCACAAAGTATCACATTGCACATGCACAGTTGGAATTGTGAACTGGCCTATTGTACCGAACTGTAAGTTTCCAGTACAGACTGGTGCATCTGCAGTGGTTTTTCAACAGATTTTTAAAAATTGTTTTTTTTTTTTAATTTTTGAATCCATGCCTCAACAGTTGAGATGTTTCCATATGTTGTAGAGTTTATTTCACTGCCATGGAAGTTGGTGGAACTTCCATGTTTCATGATATAGTACACGTACGCTGTTTGATACAGATACCATGGTCTGTCATGTGCCAGAATCAAAAGACGTTAATAAACCACTACATGCAAATTTAAAGTACATACACTTGTTTTCATGCATTTGTAAATGGTGTTACAAATAGAAAGCTTTATGTATATCATTAAGATCCTTTCACAGCTTTCACAGCCCCCGGCGCGGCACACCAGTGTTTTCAATTGTTATTCATGTCAGCAAGGACAATCTGTGTATAATGTCCTTGATGTCAGTGACAACGTGGCAACTTTGACTCTACGATAACTTTGTATCATATTTTGAGGATTATTTCGATGAAATGCGAGAGAAGAAGCATGCATGTAACAAAGACGACACAATTGACGGACGGCACTCCAGTCAGGCACTGTGACTATAGCAACATAAAAATTTTAAAGAAGAATTTGGAGATCTCATACCTCCATGAAATATATGAGTTTTTCTAAATGTTTTTACACAGTACACTACAGTACAGAAAAAAATAACACAGGTTTTTGGTTTCAAACACACAGTAGCACCTTTGGCCTGAATATGGTCATGTAGCCTATTCCAGAGGGAGAACCTCATTAATCAAACCGGGCACATCTGTTTTCCCTGCCACCCCGCACATCTGTTTTCCCGGAAGTTCTGCTGCAGTGCCAAGGTCAGCCACCAGGAGGCCCATATTTGACCTCGACCTTTGGCTTCCTAAGACCTACCAGCATACCAAATATCATCACAATCCATAAAGGCATTCTGAAGTTATGCTGACTACAAATGTGCGGAAATGCCAGTTATAATGGAAGTTTGGAAAATGGAAAATTCACATCGTCAACCATCCAGAATAAATATAAGTTGGCCCAAATATCGGCAAATCTAGAAAAAATCAGACAAATTTTTACCAGACGGTTATATTTGTTCAACCGGCAGTATTCAAGTTCAAGTTATTATTCAAGTTCTAAAATGTTCAATTCGAGCTTTGTACAACACAAAAAATGCAGTAACTCGCCCATTTTTTGTCGCACAACAAAGATAAACATATCTGCGTATCCATACTTTGCTCCGCACCTGATGCTGACTTCTATGCGCAGCTGTATCCAAATAAGGAAATGCTCGGAAACTCGGTCCCCGCTCGGAGTGGACTCGGCTATTGGGTGACGTCATTTTCGGCTCATTCATGGCCGTATATGGAATTCTGGCGGGAGAGACCTCGGCGAACATAGCATGGTGATACATGTACCATGAACATAGGAATCAAGCGAAACACCGCCGGGCCGGCGGACAATAGAACCCAGCGAGATCTAGCGGGGCAGAACAAAAGGCTTATTATGATGGGTAGTCAAGATCCGTCTATTGACATTGCCCACTTCCTTGTGTTTCTACCTCCATACTTATACATGTCTAAACTTTACTTGGGTTACAGGGTAAACCAAATAAAACAGGTGTGGCAGATGCTAAGCATTCCAATAGTGACACAGCGTATTGTATATGTATGAAAACAACACTTAGCCTTAGCTTGAATGATGAGCTGATATCAAATGTCCAACTGATAATCATATTACATACTAGTACATTTTTTGTAGTATGGCTATTCTAGATAAAATTTCAGACTAGGATGTGGGTTAAGGTCAGAGAAAAGGGAAAATATAATATTGATAACTATAGTTCACATGAATCCCATAGCAGAATCCACATCTTCATACTCCGTCTTCCAGTGTTCTTGTTTTTCTGTCACCTTCTGAGACGCTGGCCCGACTTGAGTGGTCAGCACGGAGACCACCCGACTCCTTGGCTTGTCCTCCACGGGTTTAGGGAGGGGGGCTTCCACCGTGAGAACACCGTCCTCCGCCAGGTTAGACGTGACCGTCAGCGGATCCACCCCCTCCGGGAGCAGGTACTGCCGGTTGAACTCTCGCGAGACGAGCCCGTGCTGGTCCTGCGTCTCCTCGTGTTTCCCGTGGACGTGTACCTTGTTATCGATGGTTTTCACCGTCAGGTCTCCCGACGAGAACGCAGACACGTCCAGCCGCGCCACAAACTTGCCATCTTCCACTCTCACCTCAGAAAACCCCTCCTTATCCGACTTCAGGCGGCGGCGCGGGATGAGGTATCCTCCCGGCGAGGTCGGCGGCCCGAAGTCGGCAAACGTGAGGCCCTCCCCGAAGGCCTGGTCGAGGAGACGAGAGTGATATTTCGGGAAGTCAAAGCTGAAAGTCCGCGACCACAGAGGACCGAGCACGGCAGTGGGGGACACCGGTTCGTAGTTGAAATGTCCCGGGGAAAGATACACAGCGCTGCCTGGGCGTCCTCCCTCGGCCATTATTAAACGTTTCTACTAGTAGCTTCTATGACATAAATCAGAAGAAACGAAAGAAACTCCCAGAGGGAAACGCTTGCGACGCAAGCCACTCGTGCCCTTCCCTCTCCCCCAGACAGTCCAGTACACACTTGTAACCGAATATCTGACTCATACCACCGCTTTTGGAAAACTCGACATCCCAGAAATAGAACCGGGGGCTTAGTCAGCTCGCCAAAGGTTCACATATGATATGTTTATGACAAATATCGCGTTTGACCGACTATTTTGGTTTGGTTGTGAAGTCGGCGTCACAATGTCATTGACCTTCGGCCGAATTTGTTGGTCGCTCGAATTCCGTCTCGTAAACGGTCTTTGCCATTTGAAACGGTCGATGCCATATCGGAGCGTAATACATGTACATGTACATTCAGCACAAAAACATTTAAAACGTATAAAAGGCAAAAATTTAGTTGCAAACGTACGCGCGAGAGAAACATTAAAGATGTGGCTGAAAAAGTCGATGAGAATAAACCATTTGATTGACTGATTGATTGATTGATTGATTAATTGGTTGGTTGATTGATTGATTGATTGATTGGTTGATTGATAGTATTGGCAGGCCTTTTGAACGACAGTAAATAGATGCAATACTTCTTTATAAGACTGTTGACGGTCACATTAAGATTAAGCTTACCAATATCGCTAGCTACATTTGTATGTAAGTTAAAATATGGGTGATATTATAATCATTTCTGGTTCTTTTCTGTCAGTATTCGGACCAGGAACCAACCGTCACCAGGTGATTCGAGTCCTTCTCTTTGATCTCCACCGCCTGCCGGATTCGAACCCTTGTCAAAATTATAAAAACCTTATTCTAAACGTTAAAATCTTGTTCTCTTATGCCACGAAACATCACGATGCTGGTGGAGCGTTCTAATTTAAACTTTGCTGTTTTACGATATGGTATTGGCCGTTTCAACCAACACTTGAAGAGAAAATGTCAAAAATGAAAAACCAGCTCTTCTGATCGTCGTCATGAATTAAAAGTGCCCCATAGCAGCTGACCAGAAAACTGCACCCAACGAATGGATAATTTCAAGGGATAAACCATTATTATTTATCATTACTGTCGTTAATATACAACTAGCTTCTGACAATCAGCACGCCCAGATTACGTAAGACGTCTCCAAGGTCGTTTGGCAGATCTAGACTCCAGTTCGAAACAGCTACCCAGAGCTCGTGTCTGAGTGGCACAATTGCTGCAAGAGGACAGATGGAAGTCCGCCACGACTTGAAAATTCAGACACTTAAGATATTCTGTCTCGCTTGAAAGGTAAGTTTTGGATGATCTTGTATTTTTGGATATACACAGGTGAGGAGAGGCTGGAAATATATAGGATGGGATCTAGAGACATAAGTTATCATGCATGATAATATTTTGGTGTTTAGATGCAGTAAAAACACAAGGAAAATTCAACATGTTTTTCCTAAAAAAAATACATGTACCATGTTACGCAATACTACATGATGAATTTCAAAATTTATGTCCACCATGTACTGCAATGTGGACTAATATGATGCTTTCATGCGAAAACGCCAAATGATACTCATACAAAAAAAAGGAAAATAATGTTTTTTTCTGCTTATTTCTAAACCTTAAGATGTAAAATAAAACACGTCAGCAAAAAGCACCGGATCAGGGAGTAAACAACCTGCTTAATATCAATATTCAAATGTCTGAATCAGACAATTAAAAAACATGTACGTAAGACTATCTTTTAGTCAGTTTCTGCACCTTTCAATGGTTTCTGGACTACAATTTGGAAGAACTCATTGCATTCACGCAAACTTTAGGCCAAATCATGCCCTTTCTGGTCATTTGAAAATGTAAAAATAAGGTGTAAACTGATACGTCAGCGAAAGCCCGAAGAAAATAAACATTCTGGTAAATATTCATACTCATTCAGCAGACATTTAACATAAATAAAGTAATGAGAGTAAGATGTGTATGGGCCTTTCACATTATTGAAGATAAAGAGAAATTTTAAACAAACAGTCATTAGCGAGTACATAATATTTTTTTTGGAAATGTTTAGGAAAAACTGTTTATAATGTAAGAAGAGCGCCTAGTGCCTGTGCCTCTATATGTCTGTGCCACCTCAAATGAGAAATGATCATTAATATGCAGATAGCTCAGACTGATTTAAAACTGTTACAATGTATATACGGATAAAAGGCACGAACAGCCGTTGCAAACATCTACGAACGAAATTCATGTTAACTTTATATTTCCATAACCTTCTTAGGGAAGGAGCTCCTAGAAGAGAAAAATATAGCCAGAAAATAACATTCTGTTCAAAGTTGCTGCTTAATAGTATTACCTCACCCATAAGCCATTATTATTTATTACTACTGTTAATATTCAAACAGCTAGCTTTAGACAATCAACACCCCCAGATTACGAAAGACGTATCCAACCTTGTTTGTCGGACTCCAGTTCGAAACAGCTACCCAGAGCTCGCGTCTGAGTGGCACAATTGCAGCAAGAGGACAGAGGGAAGTCCGCCGTTACTAGAAACCCAGAAACTTAGGATATTCTGTCTCCCTTGAAAGGTAAGTTTTGGATGATCTAGTATTGGCCTTTGACAAGAAGGCTATGAAATCGTTTTGGCACTGTTTGGCAGATTATGCACGATAAATTTTGAAGGCATGGTCCGAGGTTCACGATTTTGGGCAGGCAGGTTGTCTTAGCGATGGACATTGTCATGGACCAAAATGGGCTTCTTGGGGGGTTCTTACGTGACTGGAGCTAACCCTTTCTGTTTGCGTTTTTTGTTGTACTCCAGATAACTCGGGAATCCTTAAATGGTTGTGTATGATTTTTTAGTTGGCAAGTTACCGTTGAGAATACGAAGGTTAAGTTCGGAAATGGGCCTCGTGGGTGGTTTCCACGTCATTGAATTTGACCTTTTGTGTTGTTCGTTATTGTCGTTAGCAGGATAATTCGTGAAACAATTCGCATTGTATAGAACAATGGAACATTTTACATAGAATGCAACAGGAAAAATGGACGAAATATGCAGTCGCCTGTGCCGCAGCCAACCGATGATGACATACGATACATTGATCAATTTTAGTTTAAAGGCACAACAGACAAAAATTGCAGCACGGAAGGAAATAAAGCCTGTCATCTCTGATTGCCTTGTTGCTATAATTCACTTTGGGAGTGATGTACTGTATCAGGCATATTTGCATGTCTCCGTGTATTTCTGATCAACTTGTAAACGAAAAATGAGTAAAGGGTGTGAAGTCTGCCATCACTGTTTGCCTTTTTTTTACAATTCCTGCTACTCGTTCTGTGCAGATTGCAGGGCGACATGGGAAGAAAGCTGCGACACATTCTGATTTTTCTTCTCATCATCCTGAAGGAGCCCAACATGCCAAAAGGTGATGATATCTGTGCACCATCCTCACGAGGCAGATGCCCCAACCTGGGCCTCACCAAGATTCCTAAGAACCTTCCAACATCTATCTACCAGTTAGATTTAAAAGGTAACCAGATAACTAGTATTCAGTCTGGTGTGTTCTCAAATCTGCCCAAGCTCACCAGTTTGTTACTGAATTCCAACAATATAACCAGCATTCAGGCTAACATATTCTCACATCTAACAAAGCTAGAAAATTTGGACCTGAACTCAAACAGCATAAACACAATTCAACTTGGCACATTCTCAAACCTCCCAAATCTTTCCTGCTTGAATCTTACCTCCAACCAAATTTCATGTATTCCGGTTGGCGCATTCACAAATCTACCAAAGCTCAAATCTTTGTACCTGAACTCTAACAAGATAACCAGCATTCATGCTGGCGTATTTTCAAATCTACCTCAGCTTCGACGATTGTACCTGAACGCCAACCAAATATCCAGCATTCGTGTTGGCGTATTTTCAAATCTACGTCAGCTTCAACGATTGTACCTGAACGCCAACCAAATATCCAGCATTCATGTTGGCGTATTTTCAAATCTACGTCAGCTTCGACGATTGTACCTTAACGCCAACCAAATATCCGGCATTCAAGTTGGCACTTTCCAGAATCTCCCAAAACTTTTGTCCTTGAATCTTAACTCCAACAAAATAACCAGCATTCAGGTTGGTGCATTCTCAAATATGCCCCAGATCAATACGTTAGAACTTGCATCCAACCAAATATCAAGCGTCCATGTTGGCGCATTCTCGAATCTACCCATGCTCAGCCGCTTAAACCTTGCATCCAACCAAATATCAAGCATTCAGGTTGGCACATTCTCAATTCTGGCTAATCTCTGGACCTTGTTACTGAACTCCAACAACATCACCAGCATTGAGGTTGCTACATTTTCAAATCTTTCCCATATCTCTTGGTTGGATCTTTCCTCCAACCAAATTTCAAGCCTTCCGGTTGGCGCGTTTTCAAATCTACCAAAGCTAAAAAATTTGTTCTTGAAGTCGAACAAGATAACCAGAATTCAGGTTGGCACATTTTGGAATCTACCTCAGCTGCAAAATCTGTACCTTTCTTTCAACAAGATAACTCACATCTGTTCAGGAACATTTTCAAGTCTACCCAAGCTTGGAAAATTGTGCCTGAACTACAATAATATATCCAGCATTCACGTTGGCACATTCTCAAATCTAATGCAGCTCAGGTGTTGAACCTAACCTCCAACCAAATATCAGACATACAGGTTGGCATATTTTCAAATCTGACCCGGATCTATCTCTTGAATCTCTCCTCCAACCGGATTTCAAGCATTCGAGTTGGCTCATTCTCAAATCTAACAAAGCTCGAACATTTGCACCTGGAATCTAACAGCATAACCAGCATTCAGGTTGACGCATTCTCAAATCTATCTAGGCTTGCACAATTGTACCTGAACTTCAACAAGATAACCAGCATTCAGGTTGGCATTTTTTCAAATCTACCTCAGATCTGTTTGCTGAATCTTGCCTCTAACCAAATTTCAAGTATTCGGGTTGGCGCATTCTCAAACCTACCAAGGCTCAAATATTTGTACCTGAACTCTAACAAAATAACCAGCGTTCAAATTAGCACATTCTCAAAGTTACGTAGCCTCAGATGTTTGAATCTGAACTCAAACGAGCTAAGTAGCATCCAGTCTGGTATGTTTTCAAACTTACCCCGTCTCCAAGATTTGTACCTGCAGTCAAACCAGCTATCAGTCCTTCCCCTATCAGGCAATGGCATGTTGGTATCCATGCCATCCTTATACATTGACAACAACCCCTGGCGTTGTGACTGTAAGATGGCTCCCTTTTGGAAAACAATGATCGAAACTCCTGCAGTTGTAAAACAGATAACATGTGCCCAACCTGCCAACCTCTCAGGACAAAGACTTAAAGATGTCAGTCTCGAAGATCTGATCTGTAAAGACTCTACCAAATCAACACCAACATTCGGCAATACAGAAAGCTGTTACAATGGCACCATCACCTCTCACTATCACTGGTACTTTAAACGCAATGCTGACCCAACAGTTGACACTGAATGGAAACGGTCAACAACTTCAACTCTAGCCGCCACTGGTACTTTCAACGAATCTGGTCCCAGCCTCCCATTAGTACCTGCTGTGATTTCAGCATCTCTGGTATCTCTGGTACTTCTGGCTCTTGGTTTCATCATCTGGTGCAAAAAAGGGGGAAGGAATCCTGATTCAGGTTCGAACTTCAATTCTGCTTTGCGTAATACAATGACCACAGTTGTTAAAGTGACTAATAGCCAGTATGAACAAGATAAGAACCAAAATGATCAGACAGGGCAGGGTCAGTCTCAGGCACTCACTGAACCAAATACGGCTAGTGGTCAAGATCACCAGTATGAAGATATTGACAACCATCATGTTAAGACACGGCAGGGTCAGTCTCAGACCAACACTGAACGCAACACAAACGCCACAGCTATTGTAGTGGCTAGTGGTCAAGATAACCAGTGTGATGATATTGACAACCGTCATGTTAAGACACGGCAGGGTCAGTCCCATGCCTACATAAACACCACAACTGATGTAACGGTCAGTGGTTGTGGTCAGGCAATTAATCAGGCTCATTACATAACAGGCCGACTTCCTCAAACTTGATCACTGAATCCTCGGACACTACAAGTCCATTATATAACACATAACATGCCCGTAGCCAGGGGGTCGGAACCCCCCCCCCACAAGGCTCAAAGGTCCACTTTTTGGTCCACTTTTTATGTAAACGTCCACTTTTTATGTAAATGTCCACTTTTTGGTCCACTTTGTAATGTAAAGGTCCAAGATTTTTCTAGAAAAGGTAGAATGGAATCGTAGAAAAACTGCTTCCTTTGTCATTGAATAAAAATTCATCTCTGATTTTTTCTTTGAAATCCTGTCAAAAACACACGAATAGCCATTTTAGAAGTTTCATTTTTCTAAATTTCCCGGGGGAGCATGCCCCCGGACCCCCCTAGGAACCTTCGGCGCTCGAGGTCCCCTCAAGCAGTGGGAAGAACCCCCCATTCAAAATCCTGGCTACGGGCATGCATAAACAGGGCCGAATACCTCGTACTCAATTTAAAGCTGAATACAAAGTAAAAACACCGCCAAAGGTCTCAACATATACAGAAATGGCCAGTGTTAATACGTAATCAGACAGGGAAGGTCCAGTCTCAGGCTATCACCGAATCCGAAAAAGTCAGAAACCCAACAGGGCCGGCTGCCATGCAGTCTTACCTGTATGAAGATATGGGCCCACCAACACCAACCCGAAACCACAAAGGTTCAGCTTGAATGCCTTAAAATGGTATTAGACTTTTGGACTACCCAACAGATACAATTGTCTTTGCAAGGGGCCTGCACGCTCATGAGGCTTCAAAAGGAAAACTATTTCTATTTCCTCCGATTATTAGGGATTCTTAGAGAAAGCTATTTTATCCCCATGTGTAGCGAGGTAGCCAAATGTTATGTAATCACATTTTTAATATAGCGTATGCCCTTTCTGAAAGTGCCAGGCTCCATCTTGTACTCAGGGGATCGTTTGCGATACCCTCTGAGTACAATGAAAAAATTACGTTACTTACCCAAGCTTTTATAGGCGGCACTAAACGTTTCTTTGTTACATAGTATACTCTGTTTTGTTTGTAACATATAAATCATATAATACTTCTCTTGTTGATATATTGCCGTATGTATAGGGGCTTAGTTTTCAGCGTACTACGTTATGTTTATGACTATTTGTATGATTATTGTATTTATGTTAAATGTTAAGTGGGGCTGTAAAATAAGTTGTATAACTTGAGTTCAGTCCCACTTCGTCCTTGTATTTGTATTGCTTTATTCAATAAAAAAAATATAGCGCACTACGTAGGCCGTTCTCCCGAATTTAGCCCCTACTTTCGTGGCCCCGAGTAACCTAAGGGCCATTAAAATATGCTATCAAAAGGTATTATTGTTAAAAACATAATTGCACATTATTACACATTGTTAAAATTCATAATAATTATTTTCTATAAAATGTCTTTTCCCTATAAAATGTCATCGTCACAAATTATCAAAAAATCGCTAAAATATCTAAAAAAAATTATAGAATTATTAAAATTATTTTCCTATAAAATGTCATCGTCACAAATGAAATATCACTCTAGCCATAAACAAGCTTTTCAATGCTAATCATGAAGCAAAACAGTGATTTAAAAGATTCAGCTGCCAGACTAGCAGTCCTGGTGAGCAAACGTGCGTCCCGCTGTAAAGTTTTAACTTAAAAAAGTATTGATAAATGTAATCAACCGAATGTTCCCAAACGTATTGTGTTAGGTTTTATTACTTCTGTAGCATTGTATACTGTAAAGATCGCAATTGACGGATTGCAAGAGTGCATGAAATATAAATACCACTCCTTATGTTATACTGCTTTAGCACGGAAAACTGTTATATGGCATATATAGGAAGAAAACTAACTAATGGACACTCTACTACGGAGAATCTTTATTCATATGGTCATCAGCTTGTAAGCGTTCTACGTGTTTTAAGAGCACGATAGTTTACTGGTCACTCTAATCATTACTAAAAGTGCAATACATTTAATTGGTATGTTGTTACTTAACGTTTTTATGTTTATTATGCTGTCGGTGTTATGTTTTTAGATTTTATGTTAGAGATTTTATGTTAGAGAACAATTGTATTTTTTTCAACTCGCAATTATTATACCCGACATTCTTCATTATAGAAGAACTTTATTGAACGACAATTGTACATGTTACAATGTATGGCAACGACTGTTGAACATGGTACAAAAAAGGAGAAAAGAGTACAGAATGGAAATTAAAATCCTAATTACTAAACATCAAGAGCTAATACAGTATACAACCAAGTAGGGCTAATCATGAGTTTGTAATTTTTTTCCAATATCAAAACAGTCTTTTATGTATTACCTATTTTCGCATTGCATTGCATATATATAAATATACATGAATATACATATAAATCTGTTCATGGCATTGAGTCTGTTGAAATCTATTGTACTAGATTCGATGATTGTGAATAGCTTATAACGTAAAACATTATATCTAGAGCATTTCATGATAATTAAAGTGAAATATAAATGTCATGCTGGGGCGAGAGTCAGTAAGGCCACAGCAAGTAATTTTTATGGTTGACCTCAACGCGCGCATTAAATTTCGCCTGATTTTGGAAAAAAAAAGAAATTTTGTAGCCCTCTGACAGTGGTCAACGCAACATGCCGAAAATAGGCAAATATGTCTGTTGCCATGCCGGAACGTGAATGGCAGATAACTTTGAAGACAGGAAACAGGAAAAGACTCTGATTTAATGTTTTGTTTCTTACAGTGATGCAGTGATATGTGATGTTGGCTGTGTAAATGTGATGTTCCCACTGAATCAAAACCCCGTAAATAATTTCATCAGGTTGGAAGATACTTAGGGTATAGGATTTTCTTCTAACACAACCAGTAAGGTTCTCACCTGCTTACGTTTCGATGTCTATCAGACACCTTCCTCAGAGCTTCTGACTGGAGTTCTGCAACTCGCCGCTATTTAACGCCAAAGTAGGTGGCGCTTTTGCGGCGAGAATGCAATCCCAAACGTGGCTGAGCTTGTATCCCCCCTCGTCCCGGTTCATCACTGGGGTAGACTTCCTTATCCAGACTGCTTCTTTAATCCAACGGATTCTTCTGTTGTCCTCCCTATCTATGACCCTGGCACCCTCCCAGTCTATCACACAATTGTTTCTGGCAACATGGTCTGTGACTGCCGATTTCTTCTCTTCTTTTTGTGCTTGTTGTTTCTGGGAGCGTGTATATCTTACGGTTTCGCTGTTGTCTGCCTCTTTTCTGTGTTCTTCCAGTCTTTTGCCAAAGGTCCTGCCAGTTTCTCCAATATACACTTGATCACAGCTTTTGCATGGTATTTTATATACGCAGTCTGTTTTCACGTGGTCCCCCATCTTGTCCTTGGGGTGGACAAGCAGGTTCCTCAATGTTGTTTTTGGTTTCACTGCTGTGGATACCTGGTGTTTCCTGAATACCCTTTCTAGTGGTTCGGTTACTCCTTTCACATATGGGATAATCACCATGGCCCTAGTTTTCTCCCCCTCTTTCTTGTTCTTCTCTGTCTGCTTTGGCCTCTTCTCTTTCCGTTCCACCTTCCGAAAGGTCCATTCTGGGTACCCACATCGGATGAGGGCTCTTCTGATGTGCTGTGTTTCTCTTTCCTTGTCCTCCTCCTCTGTCACCACCGAGTTACATCTGTCCATAAGGGTGCGGATGACTCCCAGTTTCTGGTGCAGTGGATGGTGGGACTTGAAGTTGAGATACTGGTCTGTATGTGTACTTTTTCTGTACACTAGAAGTTTTACTGTACCATCCCCCCTTTCGTACCAGGAGAGTATCCAGGAACGGTAATGTGTTGTCTTTCTCCTCCTCATGCGTGAACTGAATACTTCCTGTAGGATCTATGTTGTTAAGATGGTCTGTGAGATCTTGATGGACACCCTTCTTCACTATCTCCATCACGTCGTCCACATATCTCTTCCAGAGCTTAGGTCTACAGGAAATGGGCGCTGTCGCTATGGCTTCCTGTTCCAGCCATTCCATAAACAGGTTGGCCAACACTGGGGACACAGGGCTACCCATAGCTGTCCCAAATTTCTGCTGGTAGATATCCCCCCGGAAACTGAAATAAGTGGTTGTGACAATAAAAGATAAAAGTTCTATGATGTCCTCAACCTCTAGGTTCGTCCGGTTCTTCAGCTCTTTATCCCCTGGAGTCTT